TTGATGACGAGTGCCAAGTAGCACGAAACCCGGGTCCAGGGTTTCCTGTTCACTACCTCCAACCACCATCTAAATCACAAAAGTGTGTAAATTTTAGCACAGTTGTACACCATCATTCACGTTACTAAGAAAAAAGCAAGATGAATATAATTTGAAGCAATTATAGGAATTCAGAACAATTATGTCCATATAACTTCTATCAAAACTATAGTAACTGGGTACCTTATTTTTTCCTTGAAAATGTGCTGAGCAAAGAAGTTTTTGTGAATAAGTTTTTGCTACATAATCTGTGACAGTAAAAGTCTTCCTACTGAGACATTTGAATATGAAAAAGGTGATTCTTATAGGTAGTAATTAATTTCTGTAGCTAATGAAATGACGTTATCAAAAGTTGTAAAAATTACTTTACTTTGGTAACTTTTAAATACTTAATTCCAAGCAGTGTATCATTATTTATTGTCATTTATGACAAAGACTGTATCAGATTTTAATGTAAGAACATCTATCTATGACAAGAATCGGAAGCAAAACTTATTTTTATTCATCAGACAGTTTTTCTTATTTGAATGAAAATACATATTTAGCAAACTTTAAAGTCGTCTTTTATGCTAGGAATTTCAACAGTACACGGTGAAGTAAATGCTCTAAATGATTATTACAAGTGATTGTAAATGAAGCAATACATGCTTTCGTTAAACAAGCAATATGTATTGAATTCGTTTGCAGATAGAGATTCAGGTATATAAAGAAGGACAGAAAGTGCTTAATAAAGTCTTGATCAACTAGTTTTGGTCGAAGAGCCCCAGCGAAGTTACTTAGACTACATCATAGAGAATTCTAAGACTTCATTATTCCAAAGGAGTATCATAGTTAAGACCCAAGTAATAGTTCAACTATTCTTGACTATGTTTTTGAGACTAAGCCTCAATACCCAGCGGTGTGGATGATTTTTTATGTGAATATGAAATCGTTAACTTATACATTCTAAAGCATAAATTCAAAATCATAAGCTAATTTTGTTATATCTTAGAACAGTCTTCGAAATGCTTTTTTCCTTATGAAATTATGCGAAAAAACCCATTTCGTACTTTATAAGGCCATACAAATAAGACGAAGGCTGTTGATATAGAGTTAAACAAGAGTACGTTTTAGGATTTCTAACTTAAGACCATCATCTTACGCATTCCTGTTATAGATGATAAAGATTTAAGATTATGAAAATTAAAGGACTTGACTCTTCTACTAGCCATGATTACTTTTGGAAGTTAGTCAAACTATACGTGATGCTACCCCCATAAAGGCAGTAGATATTTTGCACTTTCCAGAGTTTAATATTATGCTATTGTTCTGTTAGATTTTAAAGTCTATTCCGATCATAGCAAAAACTTATCTTATAGTCATTATTTACAATATCCCACAATAGATTTACACCGTCAGCATCTCTTAGAACATCGCATAAGACAGGTAGTTTATGCAAATTAGGAATTTCAGTATCCTGAAAGTGAGTTGTATGAGACAATACTACCACCTTTTGTATTTCAATAAAAAGTATAGCTCATTTGAATTTTGAATTAACTACTGCTCAACTGAAACATAAACCAATCGATGAATAGTGAATTAGTACTATTTTCTTGACTCGTGTTGATAAGGCAGGAACGTTTGAAGGAATAACCTTAAAACTCGATCATTTTATCTACGTATTAACTAAATACTTGTTCAAATCAACCTAGTACACAATTGATTTAGCTGAGAAGTAATTCTTTGGTCATAAGCCTCACATTGTCTTTATAATTTTCTTAGTGTATTCAATAAATTTACATCCACAATCACTTATTTAAAACAAGTCTATTTAATTATTTAGGTACGTCTACAATGTTTTCTTTTTTTGTTTTCAGCTAAAATGGTGTATATTAAAACTTAGAAATTTTCTGAAACATCAGGTTAATTGTTGCCGAGTTTGTATTGTATAAGTATCCAACAGACTTGTGCAAAAATATCACAGTCATTTTACTAACTAATGACATTCAATGAATTCATACAAGGTTGTCAACTAAATTCCACAGTTATAAGTGTAGTTTGTTTCCAAGTAAAAGGTTTCTTCTCTATTACTTTAAATGAGAAGATTCAGAACGACTAGTTCAAATATCAATAAACTGTAATCACAAAGATTAGAATAAAATTTAATGATTCAATATACAGTAGTAAATCTTGTACTGATTACGATTTCCAATTGAAAAGCTGTCATATTTATGTATAACATCAACTAATATCAGTATAATAAATAAACGTTATAATCAGATAGTTTTGTAGATATTATAGTAATTTCAATAGTTGAATTCATGAGTCATTTGAAACTAGACTACCATGGAAAACCTGGAAGCACTGGACGGGATCGTGGATGCGCACTATTGAGGAGTCCCATACTAGGATGAAACAGCGGTCCACTACTTCCAGGCTTTCCATAATAGTCTAATCTCAATTGACTCATAAATTCAATTCTTACATACGTGTTAACTGATCATCAGTCATCTACTGAATATATTAATTTCAAATGAAGCGAATGTTTTAAGTGAATATTTTAATAATTCATATATAGTACTGTAACAATTATCAGGTAATTAGTGTTTTTGTACACAACAACAAAAAAATCAGAACTTTGTTTGTCGTTCTTCTTTTTTGTGACGGGGGGGAGAGAGAATGGGAATAAGAATTCACAACTTTTTATTCTTCTTTTGTTTAAACTAATTAATTTATAATTCTTTTCTGATTTGTTAACAAAATCCACGGATATAGTCCATTAGAAACAATCGACTAATTAACTTTTCATTTACAAGAAATTCTTGTTTTTTTTTTGTTGCTTTTAGATTTTTATTTTTTCATAAAACATGACATATATTGAAACATTTCTTTAGAGAAAACAAAAAAGAAATTCATATGTTAACTATATAATTAACGATAAACTAATTAATTTGAAAATCCTAAAGGGATGAGAATAACGTTGAAACGAATGAGTAACAAGATGAAATAAAGTTTTATTTTAGTTCTTATAGAGATTAACGAATGTATTTTATAGAATATTTAAAAGTAGAACATATTCACAATACTTTGATTTTGTTATGTAACAATTTTACAAGTAATAAATGATATTCGAGAAGTAAATTGATTTTATGTATTTAGAAGAGAAAATTCTAATTCTTACTTTTTAGTTTCACATAATTACATTTAGTATTATGTAGTATGTTTGACCACACGTATACAGAGGCTGTTAGAGAAGTTCAATTCACTGCCTTTCGTGGCGGGGGTGTTGTGCTTCTATAAAATTTAGAGGACAAAAAGCGAATGTTCGGCGCTTTAACTGGGTTAGTAAATAGAGAAGATCCACATAGGGGAGTTGGAAAACTCTGATTCCAAACCATTGGTGAACATGGGCTTCAGTATTCTGAGTGAACAAATGACGTATGAACCTAATGTTGGTCACTGGTTACATTAGGGCTGCATCGCCTTACGTTGCTTCACTACTTTGTGGATCAAACCTTTAAGTCAGAGGCTCTGAATGTGGTCTCCTAAGAAGACTGTCTGCTTCGGTTTGGATACCCGGTCAGTATCACATCCCACACACAAATCAAGTTGTTTGTGTGTCGCATATGTATTCAGTGCCCCTTTGTACCAATATTTTTGCGCTCAAATTAAAAAAATGTGTGTTTGACTGTGGTATTTCATACAGTGTTCGTTTCATGTAGTATCGAAAACGTTATCAAGGAAAACTATAAATACTTGGTCATATTAACGTTATACTAGTTATTCTTGAAGAATAGATCCATCAAGGTCGTAAATTCTATCAGAATCTGCATTTATGTGAAAAATGTTTTAAATTTTTTATTAGTTTCACTCAAAAGTTTCCTATAATACTACATAATACTTGATTTCACTGTTATAAATGATTAGTAATACTCAGTTGAAGAGAAAAACGGAAATCATGAAAAATATATCCTAAATTTTATTTTATTATAGGAATTCATTTTACATCGTTTTGTGTATTTATTTTACCTTTATTTTGTTGTTGTTGATGAGGCTATGACGTAATATTTATTACCGCTTGAAGGTTAAATTCACAGTTGTTGTATATAATTTTATGATTAAATTCGAAAAAAAAAGATTCTCAGTAATTTTCACATGGTTATATTATTTATTGGTGTTTATCATTACTTGATCTGTAATTTCCTGAAGTGAGGAAGTTTCGGGATAAAGTTAGTGTTGTGGATGCGCAGGAATAGACCAATAATTATCATGTTAAGTTCAATGGTGTCCTTGGACTTTAAATGGACATTTCCTATTGGTCGATATCTGTTCACTTGTACAAAATGTTGTTTTCTATTTTTATGGTACGCTGTGGTATGCTTGACTGGTATATAAACAAAGTACGTTTGAAATATAGTGATTCATATCTCAGAGGTTGTGACTTGTGTTCTGGACTCAACTGACTGGGCTAGACAGGGAAGTGGGACCAATCGAGACTCTAGGCCGTCCGTACGTGTTTACGTGTCATTGTAATCGATTGATAACACAGGGTAGAAATCTACAACAACTTAAGGTCATAACAGTTAGAGAACGATATTATTCACTTTTATTTAATTCCTATGAGTAACTTAATAATTTAGTGATACTATATCTCTTGAAATTTTTTAGAAACCATACGTTAAAGAACTTTTTCATGTTATGCAACGGTTTTTCAGATAATTACACAAAAACATAATTAGAAATGTTTGTTTTAACTTGTTTATTTTATAGCATTCCAGGAATTTTTTCCAATTCGATGATGATTTGAGTTTGTAATAAAGATTAATGAATGAACAGAATACATTAGGGCGAAAAACTTTTATACTCATAATGTAACAATGAGATGTAATTTTCTTCTCTTTTTATTTCCTCTCGTAAATTTTATTCCTTAATATAAATCTTTTGTTCAAGAAATATATTTCAATGAATATGAACTTACTTTATCACGAGTTGAAATTGAATTCATCTTTTCTTTTTGTTTGTTTAAATATGATTTTTGATTTATGTATTTTATCCAAGTTAATAAATAATTGACAACCAAATCTAAAAAGAAAAAAGAAACAAAATTAAAATAAATAAATTAGTAACTTCGATTTTTTTGGAAAAAAAATTTAAAAAATTCACATTACATTTTCATTTATCCTGACAGTAAAATCTGAGACAATTCGAAACCCCTTCCCCCCAAAAAAACAAAAAAAATAAAAAAATAAAATAAAAAAGAACATTTACACTTCGATATCATGATAAAAAGTACTATTCTGATCAAATGATCTTGAATAACAACTACTAAGACTATAGAAATTTATATTTACATTGACTTAGAAAATGATCAATATGATGAATGGTATATCATAACCATTAACTGATTTGTAGACATAAATTCATTAGATGGAAATGAGTTTGTTTTGTCATTTATCATTAAGTTTTTTTGTTTTTTTTTTGTTTTGAAAAAAAAGGAAATATAGTCACCATGTGAATAAATGATATAATTAATCATTCACAGTCGAATAATTCTAAGAATATTGTACTATTTAATTTTAGAAGGGAAGCCAAAAAGAAAAGAGAAAGAGGAAAAAGGAAATATTATTATAAATCTATTGAAAGAATATACAAAAATATTGAATCAATATTGATTTATGTGCATGAATTTCAGTAGTTTCATTGTCTCAGTAATATTTAAAGATTAATGTGAAAAAAGTTTGTGTAAATCATTTGTATTAATTTCTTGCTGTTAATTTGTTATGCATCAAAAATAGGATTGAAAAAGTAGTAAATAAATGATTAGATTAATCAGCGAATTTCAATTTTATACTTTTGTTAAATTTTCAATAATCAATTGCAGTCCTAAATAACAATGGGAAGATACAAGTAAACAATACTAAATGAATTTAAATTTCACCCCATTGCAAAAGCAAATGGCTATCACGACTCAGTAGGTAAGTGGATAATACGATGGGGTTTAAAGGGAACGGTATTGGGTTCGAGTCCTGAAGTGAATATCAACACTGAAATGCAGGTGCATCCAGTTGACAAGTCCCAAATAGGAATAAATGCGCATCCTGGATTCCACTGCTAGCCACTATCCATCTTTGCTCATAATACTTGTGAATTAAGGCAATTTCGAGGTAATTCGCACAGTATGCACATATGCCACAATAAAACTGATCAATTGAAGTCCTAAATAAAAATCGGAAGATACAAGTGAATTTTCAGTAATTTATTTTATTAATCTATACCAAAGACTAACTTGACGATAAATTAATTTCCAACAACCTACATAATTAATTAGTAATAATGTATTTATTAGTGGTTAACTTTAAGATAGATTATTGGATTTCTTATGAGAATTTATGGCTTATGTAATTTATTTGTGTTTGAAAGTGACGTAGTCGGTACTGGTGAAACTAGGTGATGAATTAAAATCGTCTTAAATTAATGCAAATACTAAACAGAGACCAGTAGATACTTGATTAGTAATTTATAAGTAGTGTAGTTGCTGTTAATCTTGGTAGTCACAAGTTTGACTTCTTTAGGTGGGGGTTGTAGGTTAAAACAATTAATTAGTCTCAAAATGAGACAGTTATTTCACAGATAACGTCAATCCCTGCCGAATATATTTACGCTCATAGTAAATATTTAAATAAGTGATCTTTCATAAAATCTATGAATAGATACTGACTAGTGAATATAATATGATACATCTTCAATCAATATCGTGTAAGTGAATGATATAGCTTCACAGTATTTTTGAATGTTTTAGGAGCCGATGAATTTTAAATAAGACTGAAGAATACAATAAAGCTATCAACAGAAAAACATTCCTCAGGACATGTACATTTATATTAATTTGCGTACTCTTCCTACAAAACAAACCAGCAAAAACATTGATTTTATTTAGTATCCAATTACCAAATAACTGTAAGTGACAACTAGTGATTTAATAGAAAATTGCATTATAAAATACCACCTAAAACAATTTCACCAAGTTTAAACAGAAAATAAGCATAAAAATATAAAGCAATCAGTAAGCTTTTGTATGTCTATTCTTTACCCATAATAGTTCTTGGAATAAACTCAGGTATCACTTAACGGCTCGATGATGATTTCGTCCAATTAATTTCTCCCATAGTAATTTCTGTCATAGCTATAAGTCTCATCAAACTGACCGATAACATATTCAGTATTTTGGAATGGTAGTTAAGATTCGAAACTCTAATGGATACTTTTGGTGGTATAGTATACTTATTCTGATGATGTTGTTTCAGACAGGTAAAGAAATCTTCTTAATCAAATGATTCAATTCAGAGGACTCAATACACCAATATATACATGTAGTAAACAGACTTAGTTAAGATAGTGATTCAGTTAGTAAAATATTAGTTTTTACTTAAAATATACACAATTTTCATTGTTTTAGTTTAATTGTTACTTTCATTGGTCTCTAGTAGAAAAAAAAATCATTTTCAGATATGTCAATGAATGAAATATACAACTTTATTATTCATTTTAAACAAGTAGGAACAATTTATTGATCAATAAGTTTTTAATTAATCATTTGAAACTAACATTCATTCAGATATTATATTCCTTATTTAAATCTTTCATTAATTATATTAATCATTTATTAGCGGTTTTATTAATATTAGTTTATGGATTAATTATTCATTATAGTCAATTTGTTCATTATTCAATTTAAATTTTCTAATATTATAAATATTAAATCAACATCTTTCAATTTAATATAGTTAAGTTAACTTATAGAAAACAATATCCTCCAAGTGAAGATAGAAAGGAGAAGTTTTAGTATTATACTTTTGTATAATCAGAATAACAAATACGTATTGAGAACAATTTCAATTCGTTAAAAAGTCATATGGTTTAGTTGGTAAATAGAATATGCAATTTTTATGAAAAGGATTAGTACAATTTGTTCATATATATATATTTTCCTCTAATTTATATATTATACTGGTATAATTAACAATGGGTGTAACTAATTCATCCATGGTCAATATTACTCATAAAGGTATGAAGACATTTCTTTCTCTGATATAATACTTCATTTCTTCTTAAGTTTACACTCTAAACAGTGTTTTAATTATTCTTCTACATACCCACAGAATACACATATAAATTCTATTATTTCAAAATAGACCATTTCTTGAATATAACCAGAAATTGTTATTTCATGAAATTGGAAAATACTATTCACATTATGGTTTACATAAACAATAATAACTGAAATAATTAGTTTCAGTTTATCATTGTATTAGTTGATCTGTTTATTAGGATTAAACATATAAGCATCATTATTCAATGTTATTGATTTATTATCATATCATGTATGTTAACATGAATCTCTTGAAATATAATCGATAAGTTTCCTTAGAAACATGTTTTAAAATCAATTATCATATTTATATGATATAAAACACTGAAATATTAAATTAATCATTGCGTGTTTAATCATGTAAAATAAATATGGGAATTCATTTGTTGTTCTAACAGATCCCATATACTATCCTTTAAATTAAGCTATAACTGGGGATATTTTGTTTGTTTCTTTTAAATTCATATTTAAGTAAATTTGATATTCAGTTTACTAATGAAACATTCTGGGATATCAATGATCAAATTGTGTTTTGTATTGAAATGAAATTGTCATGAAAAATATCTGTCAAACTGTGTAATTTATTTGATATACAGAAATGAAAAAAAAATTGGTTTCAGTCCAAAGAAAAAAGAAAGTGATTATTGACTTATGTAATTTAAGGTAGTATAACATAGAAGAGAATAAAAGTTATATCCATTTTAATGAATTTACTTCTACACTTTTATAGATAATTATAATTAAAAGGATAGATGATTTCTTAACATGTTTTATGCATATTAATCTTCATTAATTGCAAGGATTAATTAAGTTTGGAAGAAATCAACACCTTTTGTCAATGAGATGTTGTACTAAGTTGGATTTTATGGTAGATATTTCGTTTAGATTTGTAGTGTTAGTCCTACAAAAATCATATATATATATTCATGAATGTATGCATACATTATGTAGTATGGGTATTCATGAACTATAAGCATTGTCAATCAAATTTGTTCCTAATTACTTCGTGAAAAATATGTTACCTGAAAATGCTATTCAGATTGCATCAAATTTCCTTGTGTTTTTTTACACATATTCTATCATTTGTTGAATATTAATAAAACTAAAGTTAAATGTGATTTTAAATTGGTATTTTTGTTTAGGTATTTCTGTCTGTCGAAATTGTTTAGTACAGATTTTATACATGTATCAATTGTGATTAGATGGTGGTTGGAGGTAGTCAACAGGAAACCCTAGACCCGGGTTTCGTGCTACTTGGCACTCGTCAGCAAGGTGTACCTGTAATCTTGAGGGAACTGGTGCTCCCTGACGGATTTGATCCCGTGCCACGCAGCTTCACAGTCAGAGACGTTACCACTAAGCTATCCGGGCCGCGACCGACCTCTTGTAGGACTGAGACTACCTCCAACCACCATCTAATCTTAATATATAGTGCACGCAGTGTCAAGTCACCTAGACTGGTGGCCACATTGCAAAATGGTCGATAGCATTTGATCTGCACTAAATAAGAAATTGACACACATGACATTGATCACCACCTAGCGATCAATCAGTTGTGATGTATCAATTGAATTTTAATTAAACGTACTTCATTCTTATTACTAATAATAACAATGAAATATAACATTTATGTGAAAATTACGATTACATCTCAAATAATAAGTAGTATAGCATTTACTTCTTATAGTGTTGAATTAGTAATCATTATTTATTTTAAATGAGATAACTCCGAAATTAACTCTTCAATATGTTTTCAGTTATTTCTGAAAGCAAACAATTTCTATTTTTGAATATTTTTCTTTATATTTAAGTGGATTCTCTTCTATATTCAAGGATCGAATTTAGTAAATATTAAATATGTGAGATCTTGTTCACTACTCTTGTAAACTGTTCTATATATATATATATATATATATATATATATATATATATA